ATCCCCGCGCGGACCGACCTTTGGGCGGAGTTCAGAACCCAAATCCCCGAAGTTGAATGCTATGTGTTTGCTGGGGATTTCAACACCACTATCCACCCGGGGCTGGATTCCCTCCAGGAACGCCCGCCCACGGCAGATGCGGAGGCGCTGCAGTTGTTTATGGCAGAACTGGACTGTGTGGACGTCTACCGCACGGCCTTCCCTGCGGGACGGGAGTTCGCCTGGTATGGATCGGCAAACCGAAGGAGCCGGATTGACATGGTGTGGGCCTCGAGTTCGATCTTTAGGTGCCGCAGCGAGATTGCTTACCTTCCAACAACGCTGTCAGACCATGTAAAGGTCGCAGCCAACTTTCCGGTGGGGGACATTATAGTGGGTCATCCGCAACCGTCCCTTCCCGAATGGGTCTTTCAGGATGAAGAGTATAAACCTCTGATTCAACAACATTGGGATAATTGGCTGCCGCGACGCCCCCAAGGAATGGATGAGTTGGGATGGGTGGCGCAGGGCAATGCTCTGATGCGCAGGTGTCTGCATGATAGGCTGGCCGGTAGCTACGGTGCCCACTTGGCCACAGGACAGGAGTACGCCGACCGCCTCAGTGCGCTTAATTGTGGCCCTAAGGACGAGCAGACGGAAGAGGAATGGTGGGTGGAGCGAGTGGAGGCCGTGCGGGAGTGGCAAGAGTGGGAGACGGTGGAAATCGCCCGCAAGGGGCGCAGATCAAAGGTGGGATGGACTGTGGTGGGTGAGAAGATGTCTCGACGATTTTTCAGAGAGTTGGGAAAGAAGCAGGGGATTGCCCTCATAACGGCAATGGACCCCCCCTTTGACCTGCAGCAGGCGAGGCAAGAGACTACGTTGGAGATTTTGGACTGTGTAACGGACTTCTATGCAGATCTGTTTACGGAGGGGGAGGGATGGACTGTGGAGCAGATGGCGACGGCCCCGCTGGAGCACATTTGGAGGCACGTCCCGCCTGGCCTCACTGAGGAGCAGGCGCAGCCTTTGGAGATGGACATCACGCTTGAAGAGGTCCTTAGGGCGATTGGAGAGCTGCCAAGACTCAAGGCGCCGGGGGTGGATGGAGTCCCTATTGAAATGTATAAGGCACCGAATCATTTCTTTGGTCCACTCCTCACGCGGGCCTTCAATGAGGCTTTGCACGCGGGACATCTCCCAGAAGGCTTTGCAGATGCCTTTGTGGTGCTGATCTATAAGAAGGGTGCCCGCGAGGATGTCAGGAATTGGCACCCGATATCAATCCTCAATGCTCACTACAAGATCCTCGCCAAGGTACTGTCGAACCGGCTCAATGAGGTGCTGCCTTGTATTATCAACCCCGCTCAAGCGGGGTTTGTTCCGGGGAGGCAGATTGTTTCGAACATTATGCTGGCTAGACAGATCCTTAGGCACCAGGAGGTCTGCGACCAGCCACTGGCTTTTGTTACAATTGACCTTGAAAAAGCCTACGACCGGGTGAAATGGGAATTCCTCTTTCAAAGTTTGCATCGGCGAGGCATTGGGGAAACTTTCTGTAACTGGACTCGACTGCTCCTGGCTGCAGCACGCACGTGTATGCAAGTGAATGGGGTGCGCTCCGGTTTTTTGCAACTTACCAGATCAGTACRGCAGGGATGCCCGCTTTCACCTGCTCTRTATGTCATCTACATAGAGGCCCTACACGACCTCCTCCGAGGGGATGAAGCTTTGCAGGGACTGCAGTTGAGACAAGATATGRTCCTCAAGTCCACTGCCTTTGCAGATGACACCGGTGCAGTCATCCCTCCTAGCACACAGCAATTAAGGCGCCTCCAAATGGATCTAGAATTGTTTTCACTATACTCAGGAGCCAGGGTGAATTGGCGGAAGTCGCAGGCCATCCTCCCACAGGGCTATATTGCCCCAGAAGGCTGGGAAGTGCCTACCTTGGCAGATGGTGAAAACCTGTGTTTTTTGGGGGCCCTGACTCATCCGGTGGGAGGGGGTGCTCAGCAGATGGAAGGATTGGCGGCGACACCGATTCTGAGGTTGGGGCGATGGGCGATGGGCGAAGAGGACGCATCTGGGAGTGTTTGGCAAGGCCCTCGTCCTTAAAAATTCGGTGCTGTCCACGATGTGGTATGCTGGGGCCATCCACATGCCGAAGAGGCGGGTTTTCCGACAGTTGCGGGCAGCGGTGTATAAATACCTGTGGGCGGGAGATGTGGAAGTGGAGTCGGTAATCCCCAGGGTGGCTTGGTCGAAGCTCACCCAGCCCAGGAGTCAAGGGGAGCTGGGGATCTTGGACCCAGAACTGCAGATGACGGCGCTTCAGCTGCGCAACCTGCTGTGGTTTTTGTTGGGGACGGCGGGCACAGCGTGGGAGAGCCTTACCACTCAGCATTTGGCCCTAGCGCTTGGCATGACAGAGCAAATGGTCTTAGTGGCGCTGGCCAGCCCAGGCCTCATTAGCCACGTCAAGAGAAACCAGATTTGGTCCGCTGCGCTGACGTTGTGGAAAAAGCTCCAATTACAGCAGGAGTTACCGGTCACCGTTGACGATGTCTATAATCAACTCCTCTTTGACAACCCCTGCGTATGTGATGATACGGGTGATCCGTTCCCATGGAAGGGGAAGCCTGGAGCTGTTGGGAAGCATTGGGCGGAATGTGGGGTTTTTAAGGTCGGGCACCTGTGGGACGAGGAAGAGAGGGACTGGAGGAAAGAGGCTGACATGGTAGTGCGGCTCCCCCACAAGTTCCGGAGGCGGCAAAACTTATCCGGCCTTCAGCGGGCTATTCCCACGCAATGGGTGGATACACTGAGGGTGGACCATAGAGTGGGGGGAGAATGGGTGAGACTCAAGGGAGAGACACACCCCCTGCAGGTATACCAGATCACACAGGTACAGGGTGAGGAGGTGGTGACGCGAGCATGGAACGTGGTGACTGGGTATGAGGGTCTGGGAGCCCCAATGAGAGTAGGACCTGGTGCGGAGACGCGGTGGAGGACTGACGAAATTGAGACAGTGGCGGTATGCGCAGAGAAGAAAAAAGAGGGGGGGCTGGGAAGTGCCCGACCCTTTCGGATTTGCAGTACAAGGCGAGAGCTGGCGATTGACCCGCAAGAATGGAGCTGGCCTAAGCAGAATTATAATAAACAAAAAGTCCAGCTCCCTCAAGTGACTACCAGGATCATGTACTACTCCCTCCTCCCCCCATTGGATCTGCGTGAAGAACTTGTGGACCGGTGGGCCAAACGAGAGTGGCTTCCCGTGATCTACCTGTACCGGTGGCGACAGAGGGAATG